GGCCCCCAGCGTGGCCGCCGCCATCTTAAGAGCGGCGAGGCGCCGCGGCGCCATCTTGAGTGGGGCACGCGCGCCGCTCCCGCCGCGGGCGGCTCCTTCCCCCGCCCTCCGCCCCGCGGCCGCCCTCAGCTCCCCCCGCGGGAAAACCCGCAAAACCGCCCGAACCGCTGAAAAATCTGAGGAAAAAAAAAACAAAAAACCACAAAACAGGCCTTTCTGTAATCCGTGATTTCTGTGATTTAATTTCCACATGGCTTCACAGCCTTGGAAAGGGCCCTGCTTGTGCCGGCGGTGGCCTCGCTGTCCCCGTTGGCTCCTGTTGCCATCCAGACCCCGGCTTCCTCAGTGACCGCACACMGGAGGGAAAACCAGGCACAAGGAATAAATGTCATAATTTTAAAGAAACTGAGACGCTGAACCCGTCCTTTCGGTCAGCGCGCGGCCGAACACGAACGTACGTTCGTAGCGGGGCCGAATGGGAAGCACCAAAACCATCAGCCGCTAGCTACCGGCCGCAGCCAACGCCTCATAACGCGAGATGTTAGCTGGCCCCTCGCGCCCAAGGCGCCCACGGCTCGAAAGGGTGCCCGGACGTGCTGCGGTGAGCTAACCGTGTGCCCCGCCACCGCCAGCGCTATAAAATCAGCCAGTAAAGCCCTCCACGTAGGGGCAGGTTCACGCGGATTGCACTGAGCACCATCACGTCGTGCTGTACGGGAGAACTAACCCCGGCTTGTGTAATGGGCGCTTTGCGATCAGCTGCGCTGGCGGCTCTGACAAAGATCCACTGCAAATAAAATACACCTGGGTTACGCTAGTGAGCCACAAACGAAGGCTCAGAGGGAGCTAGTGCTCAGAGGGCCCTGTTCTTGTTTTATCCTGCAGCATAACGTAAAGCAAAYTAAAGTACATGGGGAAAAATAAAACAGATTATCTTTTTTTATGGGATTCAGCTGCAGAGGAGTCTTTCAAAGACCTAAGAACTCTTAACACAAATGCAATGCCAAAATGCGTCTTATTAAGAGCCGTATCTGAAACAACAATAGTGCACACGCACAGTAATGATGAGATCTCATTTTCACATTCATGTGAATAATAATCTAATGTTTGCTTTTACATATATACACACATATATATGTAAATACACATACATATATACATATATATGTATGTGTGTGTATATATATATGAATTTCTTGTACCTCAGCAGCTAACACCCTTTCTGCATGGAGAAATGGAGAAGTTTGTTATGTTAGAAGCAACTATCTGAATTCACTACCAAGTGCGGCTCTGGGTGGGCTGTGCAGCCAAAAAGGGGCCACGTCGCGGGCTCCCCCACCAAGCAGAGCAGAACCAGCATCGCGCAGACGCCGCTGGCACATGCGGCAGCTCCCAGCTGCTTATTGATCTCCCCACGGCGCAAGAGAGGCCCTCACCATCCGCTCAGGACAGTTGTCCCTTTCCCGCCGCATCGTTCCTCTTGGCTGGTTGGCCATTTTTGACACCCACAGKCTCGTTGCACAAAACACCCAAGCCTTGGGAAAGTCACTTAGAAGAAGAGCTGCACTTGGGGGAAATCGATGTGGACTGGAAATCGAAGTGAATAGGAAAGCAGCAAGGATAACAGAGAAAAGTGATAAAGGTCTTCAGCAAGCCCTTCATTCTGAAAACAAAGGGAAGGCTAGTGCTGGAATAGTTCCCTTTAAGCAATATAGAAAATCACTTGTGCAGTTACAAAGTGTGCTTTCGGTCCCAGAAGGCTGGAAAGACCCAGGCAAGGTGACTTCTAATGATGCTGAAATTATTCTTTTGCCTTATTTTGTGTGTGTGRCTAACTTGCCTTTCTTTTTCTCTTCTGTTTTAACTCTTCCTAGAGCCATTTGCCATGGGACCCTACTTTCACCAGGCAGGAAATCTATAGTCTGCAGCATGTTAGAAAAACTCCTACCAGCTCCTTTTGATGGTTTTAGTGCTGAGAGGACAAGTCAGTTGGTATCAGCTGCATCAGGCTGAGGCAGAGCCGGGAGTTTTAGAAGTCACTGTGTTCTACAACATTCTGTCTTCTAGCTAGAGGCTTGAAGCATTTTTGGCAGTTGGGTCTCCATGGAAATAAGTGCACTAAGACACAGCTATTTTAAGACCTTAAAGTCTTAGAGGAAGCTAGAAGGTTGAGGTTGGGAACTGCATCTGGGAGAAATCTGTCAATTTTTGGATAATTCACATCCTTTGCTCCCTACCTTCCATTTGTGCTAGTGGAACTCATAGAATCATAGAACGCTTAAGGTTGGAAGGGACCTCAGAGGTCATCTAGTCCAACCGCTCTGCTCCAGCAGGGT